GGCCGTGGAGAGCGGCCTCGCTGAGGGTCAGTGCGGAGCAGCCCTGGTGGGAGCAGGTCAGGCAGGAGGAGGCCGCCGCCCTGCGGAGGGAGACGGGGTGGGCAGGACACCTGCGTGGGCACAGGTGGGCAGAGGACGCTCGGGCCAGGGCAGAGACAGCTCTCTGGGGCCACCCCCGGCTGTGAGCAGGCTGAGGGACAGGCGGCCGCCGGGGCTCCGTGTCCCTGTCTTCTGCTCCCTCCTGCGGTCCGTGCTCGCCACCGCCTGCAGCATCCCCTGCCTGCTGGATCCGGCCCTGCCACAGGCCCTGGGGCCTGAGGATTCGGAGTCTGCGGCTGGCGCAGGGCTGGGCTTGCCCCTGCCCCGGCTCCTGAGTGAGGGACGCGCTCACCCTCCTTGCTGTTCTGCCCTCGGCGGGGGGGGCCAGCATCTGTGTTGCCACCAGGTTCCGGGGACCCCGATGCTCAGGCCCGACTTGGAGACTCGCACTCTGAGGGGCTTCACAGTGGGACTCTGGGCCTCACACAGAACAGGGGGAGCTGCTTCATCACGCCAAGGGAGGGGGACCCCATAAGCGTCTGGGCTGGAGAATCTCAGCACATTCAGCACCTCCCGCCCCCACCTCCTGACACCCGACACGCCACGTCCAGCTTCCAAGGAGCCCTAGACTGAGTGTCCTTGCAACACCTGATCGTTGGGTTAATGCTCAACCGGGGTGTTCTGCCCTGACCTGCTCTGTGTTTAATCTCACTCGCTCCCACGCCTGCTCTATGCCACCTCCTCACCACGCGCCAGAGTCGCACTGAGACATGATTTGGGGTTCACCTTCTCCAGCTCGCACCCTCCCGCTGACTTCCTGGGCCATGGATCCCTGTGGCGGGAAAGCCAGGGGCCCGGAGCCTCACGGGGCCACAGATGCTCTGACAGAGCCCCCCGAATCCGGGCAGGAGAGGGCGGCGCCTCCCCCAGGCCAGGTGCAGGGCGCTGCCCCCGGGGGGCCTATCCGCAGAGGCACATGTGGCACCCCGTGAGACTGGGGGCTGCAGAGAGCCCCCTGACCCCAAAGCCGCCTAATCAGGACGGACCAGGAGCTCCGAGCCTCTGACTGGGGGGTCCCGGCCCTCCTTGCTCCTGGGCCTGTTGCTCCTGCCCAGAGTTCCCTGCCCAGAGTGGTCAGGGCTCTCGCCAAGGGGAGTGAGCGGACAGTTAGCTCAGCGTGGAGATGATCCCCTGACCAGCAGCACTGTGGCGCCCCGGGCAGTGGCCCCTGGTCCCCGCCCTGGCTACGCCCCAAAGGGCCTCCCCACCCAGCGCACCCCAGTGCCTACCCCACCCCTGAGGGGCCTAAGTCGGCAGCAGCCGCCCTTGCCTTGGGGTGTCCCCCTGGGCTGTCCCTCGAGGCTTCTCAGCAACCCCAGGACTCTGAGGCTCTCCCACCCCCAAAGCAGCTGCTCCCGCGAGGCACCCCCAGAGGCTGAGAGGTGTGAGGCGGGGTGAGAGCTGTGTGCACTGAGCCGCGGCTGCCTCACAGCTCCAGCCAGCCGGCAGTCTCCTCTTGTCCCTGCGGCTGCTGGTCGCCGTGGATTAGACTACGCCCTGCTCACACACACACACGCACACACACACCACACACACGCACACAGGTGCACACACACGCAGGCGCACGCAGACACACACAGGCGCACGCAGGCGCACACGCGTGGACGTCCGGCTTCCACTTTTCCTCCGAGCGCCTGACCCCTCCGGCTCGGGGAGCCCGTGGCTGTGGGCCCCTCGCCCCTGCGTGGGCCATCAGCCCCCCTGCTCCCCACAGGGCCTCCCCGACTCTGGGCCCTGGGCGCCGCCCCGGGCGGCCGCGGCAGGAGAGGCCAGCCCGGCTGAGCCCTGAGAGGCTGCTGAGCAGAGTCTGGGCCGGAGGGACCCACAGGTCTGGCTCAGCTGGTTCTTTCTGGACTTGCACTTTCAATGACTCATTTTCTGGAGAAACCGTTGAGTCTGATATCAAGTGTGGACACACTAGCAGGGCATGTTTTTTTTATCATCAGGACCTGAGAAGTGGTTGGTGACCCCACGCTGGCCTCGCTGGGGCCTCTGGTTGAACCCAGCCACCCCCACCTACACTCCCTCTCACCTGGGTCACAGTTCAGGCTCAGGGCAGCTGTGTCTGCTGTCCCTGTCCCCGGCCTCCTGCACTCTGCTCACAGCGCCCTCTGCGGCCGCAGGCTGTCACTGTCCCCTCTGTTGTCCCCACCAGGTTGTCCTTCACCCCTGCCTGACTATGAGTCAGGACTCCCTGGAGAACAGGGGCCTGGACGGTCAGTTGTCTCTCAGTAGGTGGGCAGGTAGGTAGGTATGTGAGTGGGTTAGTGTGTGAGTAGGTGGGTGGGTAGTTGGGTGGACAGGGGAACAGACAGATATGCAATCCACACAGAAAGTCAGTGGCCTTCCTATACACAAACAGCCAATCAAAAGAAGCAGAATTTTTTTTTATAACAGTTTATTTTTACATCATTTTGTACATTTTTTTTCCATCCCAATTGTAATCCCCGCGGGTTTCCCATCACCAAAAGCCTGTGCACTTCCCTCCCCACCCTCCCACCCCCCCGTTTTTGATCCCATTCCCCATTCCATCCCCGCAAAATGTCTCTGGTATATGGTTGTTCATTATTTTTGTTACTTTCTCGCCTGGTCCATTATACTCCAGAAGCAGAAATTTTTTAAAAATTCACTTTTCAATTAAAACAAAAAGAATCAAATAACTGGGAATCAACCTAACAAAAGAGGTAAAAGACCTATACAAAGAAAATTATAAAACACTTTTAAAAGAAATTCAAGAAGACACCATGAAATGGAAAGACATCCCCTGCTCATGGATCGGGAGAACTAACATCATCAAATGGCCATGGTACCAAAAGCAATATACAGATTTAACGCTATCCCTATAAAAGTCTCAATGACTTTCTTTAAAGAAATAGAGCAAATACTGATGAGATTCCTATGGAACCACAAAAGACCTCAAATAGACAAAACTCTCATGACTAAAAAGAAAGAGAACAGAGGCATCACAATCCCAAACTTCAAGCTATACTACAAAGCCATAATAATCAAAACTGCATGGTACTGGAACAAGAACAGACACACAGACCAGTGGATTTGAATAGAAAACCCAGATATAAACCCACAGGTTTATGGGCAGCTAATCTTTGACAAAGGAGCAAAGATACAATGGAACAATGAAAGTTTGTTCAGCAAATGGTGCTGGGAAAACTGGGAAGCTACATGCAAAAAAATGAAACTAAATCACTACCTTGCACCTTACACAAAAATCAACTTGAAGTGGATTAAAGACCTAGACATAAGAACAGAAACCATAAAATACCTGGAAGCAAAGATGGGCCAAACATGACATACACTTCAGTATCATCTTTGAAAATAGAGCACCCAATGCAATGATAGTGAAGCCAAGGGTAAATAGATGGGACGACATCAAGTTAAAGAGCTCTGTACAGCAAAAGAGACATTACAAAAAACAAACAGACACTGCACTGATTGGGAAAAAATTTTCTCACATAAAACTAGCGATAAAGGATTGATCATAAAGATATACAAAGAACTGATGAAACTCAACAAAAATAAACAACCCCATCAAAAAAATGGACAGAAGAGCTAAAAAGACACTTCTCCAAAGAGGAAATGCAGGTGGCCAACAAGCATATGAAAAAAATGTTCAACATCACTTGTAATAAGGGAGATGCAAAATAAAACCACAATGAGATACCACCTCACACCTGTGAGAACGGCACATCTTCAAACAACTAGCAACAA